ATGATCGATTTTCTCATATTACCAGGATAAAACCTAGCCTGTAATATGTAGGTCATGAACTCATCTTTCTCCACCTTCCTTGTCTCTGGGCACAGTACAAGCAGAATTAATGGCAATAATAATAAACTCCTTTGGAGTTTAACGATTATTCATTAGCAGGAGTACATCAGTTCTGCAGTCTCCTCTCCCCTCGGATGCCTGACACTCTGGGCTGCTCTGCTTACACTGGAGAGAAACAATCAATGAGCACCGTGCAGTCCTGGCTTTTGGGGCTGTTAATGTCTCCATTACTGTTAGGCACAGTCCCCTTGGCTTCAGCTGAATCTGTGTGCCAAAAGAAAAGCCCACACAATCAAACAAATCCTTAAAGGTAAGGACATCACCAGACTGCATCTTCTGGAGCAGCAATGTCCTGGGACAGCAGAAATGTGCTGGTGACAAGAGGACACCTGGGTCATGTCCCTCACCACCTTCATCTTCCAGCACACAGACAAAGCTGAGAAGCCTTGTCCGTACCCTAAAACCTTCCCAGGACCCTGGGAGATCAGACTGGGGCAAGAACAGGGCTGAGAAGTCACCACACCACTGCAGGGTCCTTCCTCCACTATCCAGCGACTTGGGCAAGAACCAGAGTGAGGGCTGAGACCTCAGGAGATGGGGAGAAGAGCTCCAGCAACTTCAGCAGGACTAATATTTCACTGGGGGAGACTTGAACAGTCTGTGGCCCTGTGACTCAAGTGTTTCATCAAGGTCTGAAGCTCATCCTGTGAGCAGAACATCTCACCTGATTCCAAAGCTTTCCTGGCATTTCCATTGACTGCACACCAAGGCAGGGAGAGCATCCTGCTGGTGGAGGGCTCCAAGCTCTCTCTCTTCTCTCTTTTTGGCCTCTGAACATAATTCATCCAAGCTTTTATGAGGTAATTCACATCCAGATTTTATTAGAAGTGGAAGGCCCTTTTATTTCCTCAGTGTATTCAGCACACAGAACTGGTGCTCTGGTTAATTTTATTTCTGTGCTTTCTGTGTTTTAATAATGATCTCCCCAGTTCCACTCAGCTCTGAAAAGGTGGGGGAGATGGAGAGATATGAGTTGGAATAATGTAATCATGAACTGCAGACGGAGAAATACTGGTTAAAGTGAAGTGTAATGAATATATGACTGAGGCAGAGGCATAAAGGACTGCTTAAAGAATAAAATCTGATGTATTTTCACACCTACCAGGCATTAGAATGCACTCTCAAAATAAAACAAACCAAACAAAAAAACAGATATAATTTCAGATGATTTGAAGAATAAAATAGAATTATATAAAAACTTTTCTAAAAAATAGTCCAGAAGTGCAAAAACAACACACACATATAGCTCTGGGACCACACTCTATGTTGGTTGTTTTATTTTTACTGGCTTTTTGAAACTAAACAAGACAAAGACTTACCAGAACAACAACTACAAAAATCTTCCTGTGACACAGAGAATTTGTGTGTGGGTGACAGTAGGAAACGACACACAACTCCAAGCTCAAACAGGCCAAGGCTTGTCCTTCTGGAATTTCTTTCATCCCCCAGCTGAGATCTCCCTGTTCCTGCAGCTGCCTGATGGGGGATATCAAACCAAAGACATTTCCACCACCCACTGCACCATTCCTCTGTGCAGAAGATTTTTCCAAGTGCATCCAACCGGACTGGAACACCAGGCAGACTCAGCAAGGGCTGGCTGGGGCTCATGTAGAGGCAGCCAGGCTTTGTAAGCCTCGATTAAAACCCAGGGAGAGATTCAGCTCCATTATAACATCATTCCTTTATCTGATACTCACAGTTTGTATGTCATTAAGTGAATGTGTTTTGGTTTCTGGGGGATGCACACAGTGCAGGCATTGAGAGACTCAGCACTGAGTGTTTCCTACAGGCCACGTAATGGGAAAATTAAAATCTGCCTGTACTGAACATGGAATCCCCCTGGCAGAGTCAAGGAAATTAATTTTAAATAAATGGGGTTAAACACCAAAGAATCTCCATCTTGTTTGGGCTAGTTTTTTCCACAAGAAATCATGCTGCCAGCAGCATTTTTACAACTGGATTTATTTTTTTTTTTTAAAAACACTGGCACAGGCTGTCCAGAGAAGCTGTTGATACACCATGCCTGCAATCAATCACAGGCAGGTTGGATGGTTAAACAACCTGATCTAGTTGATGATGTCCCTGTTCATTCCAGGGGGTTGAAACTGGAAGACCTTTAGTGGTCCCTTCCAGCTCAAACAATTCTATGATTGTTATGACATTTCAGAAGCCTCATGTTGGCCCAGCTGACAATGTAAAGGTTGATACAGAGCAGAAAGGTTCCCATCTTTCCCTGTGTATTGCTGCCAGTGAGTAACACACAGCTTGCAGCTGGTTCCTGAGGAAACAGCAGAGGTGCAGCCAGGTGCTGAAGGTGTGGCAGGGCCCCACTGCAGCATTTTGGGGTGCTGGGGCCCAAGGGCCCTCAGAGAGGCCCAAAACCCTTTGAGGTCCTTGCTCTTCCTGGAGAGAGTCCTGGATGTTCCGTTCCTGTCCTGCATTTGCAAAGATTGAAAAGCACCATTCCTCCTGCTTTTCAACCAAATGCAAAACCTCCTTGGAGACCTCCCCTGAGTTGTGACCTTCATTTTCACTGTCCACACCTTCCTGCACCCACCTCACCCAGAAGCTGAGCTGGAACATCATTTTTAACAAGATGCTGCAGATTCAGCACAGTAATTAATCTCAACAGCAAGTGCTGTCCACTTTTTCCTGGTAATTCATTTAAAGTGGGAAGTTAATTCCATTCAATGGAGCTGCCTTTCACCGCTTAGAGAGACACACAGGCTTTGAACATCCCCGAGTGAAGTGGTTCTGGCACAAACCTTCCTCCTCCTCCTCTATCTGCCCTGACCCCTGCATCCCCCAGGGAATGCCACATGCCAGAGCTGTGTGATCCTCCCTCTCGAGGCTGATTAGCCAGAGCTGGAGAGTTCAGGGAGGTGAGAGCATCGGCATCCTCGCGCTGACGTTTGATCGCCGGCGGCTGCCAGTGCTCCCAATTAGCCCACAAACGCTGCCAGCGGCTCACAAATACTTTAAAAAATGAAGTTTGACGAAAAGCCGCCTGCATTGCCTTTCTTCAACCCTCCCTGCCATATCAAAGCCTTTGAGAGTATCTGAGGACAACTTTTATAGCTGAGAAGGGCCCATTCGAGCGCCCTCTCATTAGTGCTGTGGCTGTGCTGCGCACTGAGCCACAGAGCATCCATCAGCCCACTTACCAGGAGCTCTCCTGAATACCAGCAAGCGTGCTAGGCTGGGGAGTCACCTCTGAGGGAGCCACCAAAGGGCTTTTCAAGCAGAAAGGTCACCCAGCTCATTTGCTTCTAGGGGAGCTGATTAGAGCGGGCGCGTTTTGGGAGCCGCGGCACCCCGCAGCCAGTCCATTCCCTGGCTCTCTTTTCTCCCTCCGCTCACAGTAATGATCTGCAGCTCATCAGAGGGGGCTCAGCGGGGGAGGACAGCAGCAGCACTTATTTTAATAAATAACATTGGTGAGCTGGCTTTGCAGACTGCAGCTTGGTGAGGGATGTGATGAATTTCGGGAGGGAAGATGGAGAGAGGCACTGGCACAGGTTGCCCAGAGACGCTGTGGCTGCCCCAGCCCTGGAAGTGTTCAAGGCCAGGCTGGACAGGGCTTGGAGTAACCTGGGATAGTGGAAGGTGCCCACAGCAGGGGGATGGCACTGGATGAGCTTTAAGGTTCTGCAGGGTAAGGCTGGCTGTGCCTCCTTGAACTTCTCCTTGATAAGCTAACATTAAAAACATCACTGGGGGCATTTCCCTGAGCAGTGATTCCAACCTAAGGCCTGTGGTGGGAAGGCCCCATCTTTCTGGCAGGGCTGGTGTATTTCAAGGTGTGTTTCTGCACTGAGGAGGTTTTGGGGCAGTTCTGATCAGTTTCAGTGTGTTTTCCAGGACTGGCTGCACTCTTGGCTCTAAGTGACAGCAGCAGACCTGCTCCAGCTGCTGCTCAGGTCAAGGTCCCTACGAAGGAGAAATCAACAGTGTGTTTGCACATTAGTTAGGAAAAGCATTTGCATTGGGAAAAGAGAAGGAATGTCTTTAGTTGTTACTTCAATTTGACATGACTGTTAGAGACATCTGATGAAAATAGTGCCAGAAACATTGGCATGCCTATCTCCTTCCAAAACTAAAATGCATCACAGAATTAACCCTACTTTAATGGAAAAGCTAAAAAAAGGCTGAAGGTGGAAGAAAATTCTGAGAATAACTCATTTCTTTTTTTTCTTTTTCCCTTTCAAAACAGCTCCTTGTTTCTCCAATACAATTATTTTGCATTATTATTTCTCATGTAACTATGAGGAAATTAAATACTCGAAAACACAATACAACATATAAATTAAACCAAATCTTTTGATTAATACAAACCCAATGGTATTTCTTTTGCTCAATAATTAAAAATGAAGTTGAGAAAACCAATTTCTTGTCTGAGAAGCCTCTGTAAAAGGGAATGTTTGGTATTTTGCAGCACTTCTGTTAAGTGCTGGACTGGTGTCAGCAGCTCATTCTTTTAATGCTTAGAACAATTTTAACCCACCCACACTCCAGCTCTGAATTATTTAGGAGAAGATGTATCTTTCTAGACCTTCTCTATAGTCCCTCAGCAAAGTGTCTGGTTGTATTTGGCATTTCTTATCTAGGACAATAATGCTGTATTTAAATAATGGTGACAGTGTCCACAACATATATATCTTTGAAGCAAAGTTGGGCCATATTTTGTCCTCCATCCCTCTCTCTTATGTCAGAAAAATGTAAGGGATTTCTCCTACATGGAAATAATCTTGGTAGTAAAATTAATGTAACTTCCACGGGTGACCCCTTCTCTCGTCCAGCAGGCTTTTGTTAGGGAAGACAACTCTTCCATATGGCTACATTAAAATAGACGGAAAAAAATCAACTTATCTTTTTCTGAATTTTTTAAGGTGTCATTTTAATGAGTCTGCCTTTCTGTTACTGCTGAAAATAAAACATTCAATGTGAGAAAAGAGTAAATATTGTCCCACAGGCAGAAGGAGGCAACCAGAGGCAGAGAGAGAGAAGCCACATTGGGTGACAGACTGTGTGCAGCTGGATTCCCCATCCCAAAGCCAACATTTCTGCAGTGTGGAACAGGGCTACCCTCCTGACCCATTCTTGGACTCAAATGGAGCCCTGAAGCCTTTGAGCACATCATCAGAGTCACAGAGGTGATTCCATGCACCCACAGTGAGGTTTGCACACAGTCTGGATGTGAAGGAACTTGTAGAGTGCAAAAACTGAGCCAAGTTAGGCCAGATTCCTGCTCAGTTAATGCAGGCAGAGGTTTGGCAGTGTTTGAGCTGTGTCTAGCACATGGTTCACTTGAGTAGGCTCCTTGGGGGAAATCTACTGAGCAGCAGCTGCTCAGCTCATCTTTCCTGGGAAGGCTGCTCAGGGACACACACAGGAATGGCAGGAGGAGACACCAAATCCCCCACACCTCAGAGACATTCTGTCTTAAACTTCTGCCTCAGGGCTTTCTGCACATTCTGGATCTTCTCTGTGATCACGGTGTCACTGAGGTGATCCCCAAACTTCTGCTTCAGAAGCACCCTGATGATTTTGATGCAGCGTTCGTCCATCATTGGCTTCGCCTCCCGGAAAGTGTTGCCCCTGCGCCCCGTGATGGAGTGGCTCTGGATGTAGTCAGAGGTGAAGAGTTTGTAGAGCAGGGTCTTGCAGGCTGTGCTGATTTTCTGGTCAAACCTGATGGTCTCTTTGAGCTGCTCCTTGGTGTAGCCATTGAAGAGCTCCACCACCTCACACGGCTGTCGGTGGGGCTCCTCCTGGAAGGACAGGGATTCCAGCCTCTGCACCTTCTTCTTCAGAGAGAGGACATCTTGTTGGAGGTCCAACACCATCCTCTCCAGCTGATCTATCTTCTCTGCCCTGAAAAATTAAATTTGCTTGTGTAAAGGCAGGAAGACTGTGTCCTCACTATGGATGTTGCTCCTCCACCTAAGCAGTGATTAGACACCTTCTTCAAGCAGGGCAGGACAACTTCTCTGACAGAGTATCAGCCCTTCCAGCTACTCCTGGGTGAGGAATAAGGCAGAAGAGCACTTTTCAGTGCTCAAGAATGTTCAGTTTAACCCTCAACTCCCTCTTGACATGCATGCATGGAGACTTTGACGCTCAATTTTCTTCTCAGTTGTAAGGAAAGACATAAAGCCTGTCTTGCAAGTCCCAGAACACACATATTTGTGGTATTAAACAACAGACTTGTGGGAAATGACAATACAAGAACCATAACTTGAATTTTTTTGACACCCATTTCTTTGGGAGAAAACTGTCCCTAGCATCACTTTATCACTGGATACTGGTCATCAAAGCAATGAACAATAAAACAAGGAACACACAACCATGTTTTGATTGTTATAGGCAAGAGCTTTGCAGTTTCTGCACTATTTTAGAGCCTTCTTGCTTCTCTAAATCCAAGCCCTACAATCAGAAACACCTGGCTCGACTGTAAAGACACTCAGCAACTTTGGAGTTTAAAACTGCCCCACTTCGCCACCCATCTGTGATCTCACTGCTCAGTCTTGTAGTGAAGAGGAAAACGCAGTTAGGAACAAGAGCCTTCTTTTGCTAATTACCTTTCCATCTCAACAGGACCAAAATTTCTGTGAACCCTCTCAAAGCCATCGGTCTCTTGCAAAGCATCCATCTTTCGCTCTTCACGGCTGGAAGAAACAAGCAAGTTAAACAGCACTGCCACAAACAGCTTTGTGCTCATGTTCATATTCATTCCTGAGGAGAATTATCTGGAATTATCAAAGCAAAGTCAATTCTGGTTTCATTTGCAACAAGAATAAAATAGATTAAGAGAGAAGATGAGGGGTTCTTCATGTGGACAAATTCCTGCTCATCGCCCTGGCACACAGATATGGGGGACCTCCCACTGACTCACCATGGAATCAGGACTTCAGAGCACAGGCTCATTTCTCTGCTCTATGTGCCCACACAAACTCATATTATCTTCTGAGCTTTGGGTTTAACCTCTATGAGCATCTACTCAAAGCAAGCACTGCCAGAGAATGGAGACAGAGTGGACAGAAATCGATATGTGTGGTGTCCTTGCTGTGCTTTCAGGTGTTACCTTTTCAGACAGATCTGCTGCTGGCACGGGGACAAGATGCCATCTGACTTCCTCTTCATTGGAAGGGCAACATAATCTGCAGCAGGGGTGAGAGACAAGATGAAGAATCAGCTGTTGGAAAGGTCCTGAATCCCTCTGTCTCCAGAATAGATTATCTAAGCACCCCAGCTAGATTGCATGGCAACACATTATTCCATTTGCATAAACAGTGATCCAAGCAGGCTCTCCAGGACTGATCAATGGGGATTTGTTATTTGAAGAAGGTGGCATCTCAAGGGCTTATGTTCTCATTGCAAAAGATCTGGTGGGAGCAAGGCAAGCAGAGTCAATGTGTTTCTGGATGCTACTGTTAGTCAGCAGGTAAATAAGACAATAGCATATTTTCATAAGTACATTTAATGGGTGTAGTAGTGGGTGGAAAAATAGGGAAATAGGCAAATCTGAGATGGTTTGACTAATGGAGACACAGAGCTTTTGGGAATTTCAATTATTCAGGCAAGCATTCATTCATTCAGACTGTCTTTTGGCTTGGGGAAGGGAACTGCTAGCCCAGGAGACATAGCTGGTGCCTGACAGAGCAGAGACCATATACTACACACAGGCATCACCCTTCAGACAGCCCTCCTGGAGGAGATCTCCCAGGTGGGAAGGACCAGAAAATGTTATCTCTAACCTCTGTAGCCCTGAGACAAAGCCCATAAAGCCCCAGAGCAAAGCAGAGGTTTTCTGGCTGCTCTGCAAGTCCCCATCCCACCCTGACACTCAGGACCAGGCAGCAGAGCCAGAACCCAAGCTTACCTCTGGCACCCAGACCAGCCCTGTCCTCTTCACTCTGGGAAGCTCCTTGCCCTGGCAGGGCCATGGTGATGAAGGTGGACGGAGGTGTGAAGGCACTGGCTGGCTGGGAGGGAGTTGCCAGCAAGCGAGGGCTTCCTGCCACGCTTCCCAGGACACGTCTGTCCTTGAGGATGGAGGAGCTGCTGGCATCATGAGGCAGGCTGGCCTCAGCCACCCTCAGCAGTGGCTTTGCAGGATAGGTCTTGTCATTGGGGTATTTCCTGGATGCATTCCCTGGGGTCCATTTTGGAAAGGTTTTCCTGGATTTTTTTGGTGGGGATGGCATCATGTTGTGGACAGCTGGTTCCTCTTCTGAAATGAAGGGAAATACTCATGATGTGCAGTGGGGCAGCAAGGTTGTGTATCTTCCACTCCCACCCAATGCTTTGTACACCAATTGCAGTGATGTGAAATTTATGATGGGACTAAAACATGCTCAGCATCCTCCCACCCAAAAAGCCCCATGGAGATAGAAAGTTGCAATGCTCAAAAGCCCTAACTCACTTAACTTCTCCAGGAGCTGCCGATCTTCCAGCAGCTTCTTCTCCAAAATATCTTTATGCTCTGTGGGAAGAGAAGATCTTTCAGCACTAAACTCCTTCTTGGAAGGTTGCCCCTGAGCAGCCCCAGATTGCAAACCCAGGCCAGGGGGGGTGTCACTTACCACTTATGCCTTCCACCACACCCCAGTACAGCCCACTGAAGCCGGGGCAGCGGGCCAGGACCTGCTCCCCCACCGTGTAGAGGTGGAAGGGCTTGCGGGGCTCCTTGATGTTCTCCATGTTGATGACCCGGCTGCCGTCAGGCCAGCTGATGAGCACGTAGAGCTTGGCTGACATCAGGGCTGCCCACCTGGAGCAGAGGGAACTGTACGGGAATGTCACCACAGGGGTTTGGGCTCTCCGGTGGTTGGAGTGTCCACAAGCAGTGCTTTACCTGGGGCAGCACAACCTGAAGATATAAAATACTTGGCCCTGCATTTCCTCTACCAGTTATTTCTCTGTTCCCATTCCCACCCTTCTGAGCTTGCCTCACCCTAAAGCCCTTTGCTGGGAGGCTGCCTTGGGTCTGACTGAGCACAGCCCCACATGCCTTCAGTGCATCCAAGCATCCTTGGCAGTGATGGCCATGCCAGGTCTCACCTGGGATCAGGCAGGGCCAGCCCTCACAGCAGACACTTTGAGCAGATGCTGAACAAGCCACTGAGCAGACACAGGCTGGTTCCTCTGCCCCTGTGAACCAGCACAGCTCAAATCACTTCAGTGGATCTACAGCAGTTTGCTCCAGTGCAGGGCTGTCTCTGTGATATCAAGGCAGTGCAGAGAAGAGACTCAAAAAAACCCAGAAGTATTCCAGGAAATGATCATTCCTTTGCCTGCACAATTATTTTCCCCAGTAAACATCAAAATGTTCTGATAAGGAGAACAGAAAATTCCCTTCATTTCACCCATAGGGAAACTGAGGCACAGACCAGTGCTAGATACGTGTAAGGCAGTAAAGCAACAAAGCTGCAAGGAGCTGTATCCTAAGTCCTGACCCACTTCTCTGCCCACTGAGATGTCTTTCTGCTCCTGGAGCTGCGGACTTCAATCACTGGAGAAACTGGAGAGCCAGGCTGGTGGTGATTTCCAAAACCTCCCATGCCAGAGGAGCAACTGAGGAGCTGAGGGCTGCTGAGCTCAGGAGGGGTTTCTTTCCAGCTCCTAAGGGTCCTGGCAGAGCATCACCCCAGTCCTGCCTGCTTTGCTCAGCAGCAGGATTTGGCAGAGGGGTTCTGGGAACAGGGCTGAGCCCATGTGCTGGACACCAGGTGGAGAATGGCCACGGTGTCCAAAGAAGATGGGAGGGAGCTGGGGCAGGCAAAGGAGAGCTGGACCAGAGACAAGGTGACAGGAAAGGCAGCTAGGACCCAATTTATTCCAGTTTCTTGTTTTGTCTCCACACCCCCAGTAAAGTCCTGCTTGGGTTTGATTCCTCTCACCTGGAAGATTCAAGTTCACCCTGGAAAACTTTGTCCTTTCCCACCTCCACCACCATCAGCTGCAGCAAAGCTCCTTACAGGAGCCATAACTCTCCCCAAACCTGCTGCTCTGCCCTGCTGGCACAGTCTCACACCTGGTTTTCTCCAACCCTTTTCTCCTGACTGATACACACCCTGGCATTGATTTTATCAGGAAGCACCACATACAAATTATCTGTGTGCTCCCCACATCCCCTCCCTGCAGCAGGCAGCTGCCCCAGCCCTCTCAAAAACACAGGGAAGGCTACAGAGCACAAAATGGGATAAATGCATAGCTGAGCCCTCTCCCCCTCAGAAACAGAGCTCTGCATTCCAAACAGCAAACAACCCCAGCCCAAACAGCTCTCTGGTGGGGTTTTCCTTTAACATTTAAGGAAAACACACTGATCTTCCTTCCCCAAACCAGTTGTTCATTTACCCTTATGAACACAACAAAACTACATGAACACACAAACAGAGAGAGAAAAAAAGATCACAATCCTGATAGCAACAGAGCTGCTCCTTGCCTGGTTAGCACTGCTCCAGGTGTTGAGTCTTGCAAGATGTCTCCTGTCTCTCCAGGTCTCTGCTGCCTGTTCCAGGAGAGGAGGCGACCGGACACTTCCTTGCCTTGGGCTTGTCCCTTCACCACAGTTCCTTGTCAGGTCTCCTTTGTCTGGCTTGGAAAGCTCCCACCTGCTGTCCCCACTGCAAAGAAAAAAAAAAAGAGCTTTTGCTTCCTTTTTTCCTGGTTGTTTTGTTTCAGCATTATTATTATTCCTGTTATTTTCCCATATACATATATTATTTTTTTTTCCTTAGCTTGTTTCAGGTCTGTTTCTTACAGGGAGAGAGAGCAGAAGAGAAGAGAAAAAGCCTTGGGTTTTTTGGAGCATGAATAAACCTTGCATTTCCATGAGTTATTCATGAATAATTCATGAAAATGCATGATTAATTCAGGTTCATGAATTATTCAGGAATAATTCTCGAACATTCCTGGTTAATTCATGCTCACACAGCGAGTGAGTCAGGCTCTAGGGCTTGGAGAATTCCTTTCTCCCTGAGACAGGAGAAGAGAGGCTTAGAGAAGCTGCATTGTGCACTTGCTGTTTACTGCCTCTGTGAAGAGAACATATTTTGGGCCCTTTTTGAAACAAGGACTTGAAGAAAATTGAAATGCCTGCAGCCTCCTGCCCACGGAGGAATAACACAGCACCAAAAGAAAGAGAAAAAGAAAAAAAACAAAACAGAGAGAAAGAAATTGGAATTGCTCACAGAGCAAAGCCTGGCAGCAAGTTTTATCCCCTTTCAAAGAATCTTTCTCCCCCCACCTCCAGATTTCTCCCTGGTTAAGATATATCTCACTGCTTCAGTTTTTACCTGCTGTGCAAAAAAAAAAAAAGGATCATCCACATGGGTTTCTGCTTGAGGTGTCAAAGAGAATTCCCATGCCACGTGGCCCTCTGTCCCTCAGTGTGTGTGCACAGTCTTCTCCCAGGTAACAACCAACAGGAAAAGAGGAAACTGCCTCAGTTTGTACCAGTGGAGGATTAGATGGGATATAAGGAAAATTTCTTCACCAAAAGGGTTGTCCAGCACTGGCACAGGCTGTCCAGGGCACTGGAATTACCATGTCTGGAGGGATTTGAAAGAAGTGGGGATGGGGCAGCTGCAGATATGGTTTACTGGTGAGCTTGGCAGTGCTGGGGGAATGGTTGGACTCCATAAACTTAGAGAGCTTTTCCAAGCCAAAAGATTCTTGCAAAGCTCCTTGGCTCAATGTCCCAGCCAGGGTGAGCACTGATCTTGGCACTGGGCTCAGCAGGTCAGGCCTGGTGCTCACACCAGTGCAGACATCAAGCTGGCCATGCACAGCTCTGTGTTTCTGCCAAAAATATCACAGCTGCAGCAGCTGGGGTTCCCTAATGCTGGGCTTTTTATCCCTACTGCATGGAGGACCACATGGCATGGCAAAGGATGGATCCCATGTGCCATCCAGCCTGCCATGAGCCAGGCAGGACACCAGCAGGGGAAGGTGCAGAGGGTTGTCTGCACAACCCAACCAGCCATCCTACCCCAGCCACTGGGTGAGATGGAAAAACAGATAGGGAGCAATTCCAAAACAGCACTGTCTGGTTTATCTTAGCCAAAAACAGCACTGGAGGTTGTTGGGAGAAAGGGAGAATTCAGATATTCAGTGACACATTAGAAAAGGACCTTGATCAGATTCACAGAATAAGAAAGATCCTATATCCCTGATTTGCAATATTTATAGCTAAAAATGCACCTGTCATCCCAGGTAAAAGCAGATGTTGAATAGAGAGCTTGTTGGGATTAGGTAACAAGCAGATATGAATAGAAAAGCAGCAGTATGTGACTTCTGTGGAGTTCTGAATGATGTTGCTCAAGACTGAGAGCTGCATAGTAATAAGAAATGGAAAAGCAATGACAAGGAGAAAAATAATAGAGATACACAACAATGGAGATGAGATTGGATTCTAGTTAGAGACAGGACTTGGCTCCAATAAAATCTGCCTGGGAAGAGAGCTGGCTTAAACTAGCATTGTTTGCTTTCCATTGAAGAACAACAATATCCAAAATATAACAGATGAATATTCCTGGGGTAGAGGTTGGTAATTCAACTGCAAACCGCAGGAGAGGAAGAATTTCAGGAACCACAGGAGGAAGACAAATTGTAGTCTCATCAAACAACAGAAAAGTCAAGTGCCTATGTATAAATATACAGTGTTTGTGTTGAATTATTCCATGAAAATGCAAGTCTAAAGTGAACCTCAGGTGTTTGACTTCATGAAAATTAGCAAGCCCTGATTAGATTTCCCTCCCAGTTGGTAAATATGAAATCCCTGGGCAGATGGCTCAGTTCTGGGTGTAGGTAGAGTTACTGTATTCAGGAACCTCTCCTCTGCATCTCTCATTTTTTCGAACACAAGTCCCACACTGCGGGCCACGGTGGCAGCACGTCACCCTCTCTGAGATTTAGATTTCAGCCACAGCTGAAGAGAACAAAGGTTCTTTCGTGATCTTACCCAGAGACTCACCCAGGGAACAGATTCAGCAGCTGTTTGAGCACTATCTGGGTCTTTATCCGAACAATCTTAACTAATGTTTGAAGGGATTTAAAGTGCAAACACAGGTGCTTTTAATCCCCTTTTTCACTTAACCTCGGCCATGTAGCTCTTCTTTTGGCTTGGTCCAGCAGCCCAGTTATAGAATCCTAGAATGGTTTGGGCTAGAAAGGAACTCAATGACCATCTCATTCCAACCGCCCTGCCTTCCACTATCCCAGGTTGCTCCAAGCCTGCCCAACTGGCCTGGAACACCTCCAGGGATGGAGTAGCCTGTACCAGGGCATTACCACCCTCACAAAGAATTTCTTCCCAATAACCATCTAAACCTGCCCTCTTGCAAGTTGAACCCATTTCCCTTGTTCTGTCACTCCAGACCCTTGTCCAAAGCCCCTTTCCAGGTCTCCTCAGGCACTTTTAGGCATTGGAAGGAGCTCAAAGGTCTCCCTGGAGCTTTGTCTTCTCCAAGCCAAACAGTCCCAGCTCTCTCTGCCTGCCTCCAGATCAGAGCTACTCCAGCCCCTTGAGCATCTTCATGGCCTCCTCTGGACTGCCTCCAGCAGCTCCACATCCTTCCCATTTCCAGAAAGCAGCCAGAGTTCAATAATTGAGAAACAAGAGCTACATGGTTCATTAATTTTTACCAACATAATGAAATGACACAGGAACCCTCAATCCTTGTGCTTCCCTGAGACCAGCTCTGCATCCCCTCCATGCTGCTGGGAGAAGGGGAAGGCATCGCCAGGAGGGATCAGCACTGCCAGGGCAAGTGATGGACAGAGACCCTGTCCCTTGTAACCAGCCCTGTCTGGGGTGGCTGATGGAGTCATTAGGATGGATCTGGGGGACAGTTTCTCATTCCATGAGGACAAACTCTGGAGCATAAGGCACTGTCTGTACCCGAGAGCGTCCACCCGGTGGCATTCTGCATTTTTAATGAAACAAGTACAAGTCCCACCTCTGCCTGCGTTCCAGGGAACAGTGAAGTACAATCTGCACTAATGAGGCTAGAGTTAACTGCTTTTTAATTAATGTCTCTTTTCTAACAGGCCAGAAAGAAGCTCAGTTACACAGACATGGGGAGGAAAGCCACCATGAGGGGCAGCAAGTCCTACCTACCACACTTGTTAAATGCCTTCCTGGGTTCGAGCTCTTCCCTGTTATTCCTCATGTGACAGAGACAAGAAAAAAATGAGAAAATCAGAGCCTAAATGCACCGGGCACAGCTTTGCAATGGGCTCTGCAGAGAGTCCACTGGCTGTAGGAGTTTCCCATTTCCCTAATGCAAGTTCTTATTCCTCCTCTATAATTGCCCTGAATTAAGTAATACATTTTTTAGATACCAAGGTATTTTATTTCTCTTCAGAAAAAGAAGAATCCCCTTTGTAATCCAGTCCCAAATCCCCTTTCTTTTCACCATAGCAGTTTCCAACCATTTTGAAAACCCTTTTATTTTCCAAGCCCTCTGTATTTATCAAACATTTGTGATTTACATCTGTTTCCCTATCTGCTTGGCTGGCTGATTTATTGGGGTTCCTTTGTGAGCTTGGCAGTAAGACAGCAGCAGCACAGTGAATGAAAAAAAAAAGGGGGTGAAAAGATCACCCAGAAAAAGGAAAGGAACCTTAATTGAGGGAGAGCAGCAATACATTATGGCTTTTTAATATCCCCAATCCTTTTTCTGATTCTCTCAAGTATTTAGCCTTTTTTAGTATTCAAGGGGACATGAAGGGGAATTAACCAAACTAAGGAGGTACCAGAAATCAAACAATAGATCGTTCCCATGAGACAGAAAGGGAAGAAAGTATTTAACATTGTAATTACAGCTGAAGGTACCTGGGAAATATCAACCTGCTTAACTTTAGGTATCTGAGCAGCTCCTGAAAAAGTGGCAGGACTGACCACATTTTTTTCAATAAAGCACAAGCTTTAGTGTCACAAAATCACAGCCAAAAAGCAGAAAAAAACCATAATGTGTCACTTAGTAACAATCCCTGCTGCAAGGGATCCCAGCACATCATCTCACAACAGGAGGAAATAACCCAGCACGAAAGGGCTGATGTGGAAAATTCATCTCATCACATCGCCAGGGGCTTGGCACCCTTTTCCACACCATTCCTGGATGGAAAAGTGCTGCAGGGACGTGAGGTCGGTGCTTGGGGGCAGCAAATCTGAGTGTTGAGCTGGCAGGGTGCCTCCAGCTGCTCCTGTTCCTCCTCTGAGACAGCCACGAGTACCTGAGAGCAGCCCCAGCACCGAGAGAACGTCTTGTTTCCTGTTACTCGAGCAGCACAGCTCTGATTCCAGATTCTCCCCCGCTGCTAATTAATGAAATGAAATCAGGAGCACGTTAGCAGTTGCAGAAGGGACTCTCTGGTTGGCACACACTGCTGCCAGCCCCCGCCATGGCATCCCTGCACAACAGAGCTCTTTTTCCTCAGCATTTCAGGGCTGGTGTTCCCCCTCACAATTTTTTCTCTTTCTGGCAGAAGGCATCAAAAGGAAGTTATTTGCATTAGGAGGGAATGTGTTTTGGGCTGATTTTGGACAAGAAGCCTGGTGGGACCTCACCTCTCTCCCTGATGCCACTCTAAATGAGAGTTTCTGCAGCAGAGCCTGATCCTCTGCCAAAAGCATGAAACCCTCTGATTTCACCTCATGTGGCCACTGCACTAATTATTTCTCACAGGGCCTTTGATGCTGCTGAATAGCTCATTAATTTCCCTCTAACCTGTCAGAGCTTTGGCTGAGGGCACAGAGGCCTTGCAGGCCCGGGTGTCTCCTGCAAGGCCACCTCGGTGCCACCACACAGGCAGCACGTGGCAGGGTGGTCTCATCCAGGACACCATCCACAGGGATGCAAAGAGAACGGAAAGCTCTGTCAAACATGCTGTAAAATCAGGCAGAGAAATTGTCCTTGACCAGCTGTCTCTCTCCAGGCCCTGCTTCCAGGGCTGGCACAGGCAAATGGGCTCTTGTGTGAATAGATTTGTCAAAACCTCCCAAAAATGGGAGCAATTCCCATCCCAGCCCTGCCTACTCAAAGTGGCATCATTTTGGTACCTAACTACTTCAAAGGTGAAAGCAAATTCTCTCTAGTTTGCTAAATTGACAAATTTACTCCCCTCAGAAGACAATCTCATTTCCATCTTCTACCTCTTTAGCTTTGTACACTCAGTCCATAAAAAGGTTTTTCATTAATTTCTTCTCCAGGAAAGAAGAAATTGATCTTTTAATTGTGGCACTTTAAATTGGCATGTTGACTACAAAAATCCACTGTTCATCACATCGAAGGCTAATCCAATCATTCCAATTACTCCAGTAATGGAGATCTTTACAGGATGGGTGGAAGGGCAGGATCAAAATGGAGAGAGGCAGAATCTGGGAAGACAGCACAACTTTAAATTAGGATATCTGCTGTGCATGGTGAAATAAAACATGACCCATTCAGCATCCTGTTGTTTTCACTTTCCACTCTTATCTCCTGCCAACTTTTACCTGCCCACAGCCAATTGTTTTGCTGACAGTCACCATGCCCATGTGCCACTTGCTGAGCATCACCTGCGTGAGGCCTCAGGTGCTCACTAAGGAAAACTCACTTCTTCATATTCTTTGCAGAAGCAGGGAAGATCTTGCTTGCTCAGTTGGGCAGTGGAAAAGTTTTCTATTCAAACTTCTCTGTGTGGCATAATGGATGTATTTTTGACTCAGAGAAATCTGTTTATTTTCTGCTCTTAAATAAAGACATGAGCAACACCACGGCAGAGGAAACACAAACAGGCTGTTACTCAAACACCATCTCTGAAGGGATTGTGCTCTGCTTTTCAGATGAGATTAAGAGCTCAATTACAGTAGAGAAAGAGCCTTTCATTAAATCACACATAGAACATAATAAGGACAAATTACAAAGCTCTTCAGAAGGAAATCTGTGTCAGATTGCTGGGTAAGGAGGCCCTTTAGGGGGAGCCTTCAGTGGTTTCTCCTGCACTTCTGAAGAAATGAGTCCTACACACCTCATCTCACCACGTTTTTGAGGAAAGCTCACAACCAGAATCTTATGGGGCACCCAATTCTTTGAATGCCTCTCTTCCAGCGACAGAGATGAGCAGTATAAGCAACCATCCCCTCATGTTTGTAATGAGTGGGGTGAAGCCTTGGGTTAGCACTGATGTGCACAGTTTAGAAGTGTAATGGTTTATTCTGCTAACACAGGAAAAGCCCAGAAGCTCAGAGTTGTCTCAGTCCCATATTGGTAACAGGAGATAACCTGTGGAGTTTAAAGAATTTGAAGTCCCAGCAGGTAAGGGATGAATCAACTACCTAAAGCCAGACCCTTGATATAACTGTTTCCTTCCAGCATTCCTGCCATACTCTCCTGTTTACAAAAGCCTCCACCAAGAAACCTGCAGATAAGGAGGTGAGAAAAGAACAGATTTAAGCCCCTTAAGTTGAAGAGAGAGCCCAGAGATGCTCAAGACAGACAGATCCATCCCTGAGCAGCCAGGCTGCCCAAACTTTCAAAATCAAAGTTCCAGGGTGCAAATCCCAGGCACATGAACCACAGGCAGAAATACCCACTGGCCTTTTGATTTGCAGGTGACTGTACAAGTCTGAACCTGGAGCTGAGGCACTGGATGCTTTTCCTTCCCCAGAAATCCAAGGTGCTGCATGGCAGAGCTCAAAGTGGACAGGAAAGGGTTACAGGGCTGCTCAAAATCCTGCACCTGGGAAAGGGGAAGTCCAGGTTCAGTCATAGAGATGTCACCACTTGATTTTGTTCCGTTGTCATTCTGCTCTCTTGGAATATATTATGGTTAATTAAAGGCAGATAGCTAATTGGATTGTAAGCAGGTGCTGGTGAAAAAAAAGCAAACCACTGTTCCCCTCTGAAATGCCAGACAGGAGTTTCATTAAAATTCCCTTTGAAAAGACATCCCAAAACCTCGTAATCTGTTGATAAAAACACTCAAGGAAAAGTCAAGGAAAAAAGAACAAACCATGTTTTTCAGGAGGCTTCACAACTCAGGCAACTGCATCCCCATCAAGCATTAGGATTGAGGATTGTCATTCCCACACCAGGAAATCTTTCAAATACTCAAAAACTTTCATTGAAAAGCAGTGCCAGAATGCACAAAGTTGAACAACGATCCATGAAGGCCTAATATTTCTATCAAGGCTGGAATGAGATGAGTAGGAGAGGATGACTGGGGCTCTTCAAAAGCCATACCACAGAGCTGAGGTAGGATTTAATCCTGATATCTCTCTAGTTGCCAAGAAAAGGATCAAGACACGTAAGGGAGCTCAGAAAGCCAAAGTGCTCAAAACAGCAGCATGTTGTTTTCACAGAGGGAAGAAGAGGAAATACAGCTGGATACTTCCTAATGGTCTTCTTTGGCCTGACCTGATGTCTGGTGCAGTGAGTCACAGAAAACTTGGTCAAAACATGGGTGGCAGAATTGAAAATGTTATATAAGTAATAGAAAAAATTAAGAACATATAGGAGTGAGCAGAGTCACAAGGACCTGGAGGAGAAAGAACCCCAAAAGGCCAGACATGATGTAATATCATGGATAATGAGGGTAAAATACATGTTGCTACTCATCATGTATCTAAAGAATTATAGAATAGTTTGGGCTGGAAGGGACCTTTAAAGGTCACCTGAAATGACAGACTACTGAAAGAAACAGAAAAACAGTATCTTAACTGCCAGGGAAAACTGTATTGCAAGCAACCAAGATTAGAGGTAAAGAAGCAACATTTTATCTTTGAACCAAAGGTTTGTCAATAACTAACGCTGTCTGCCACTGAGGGACACACTAAAGCAGAATCTCTCCATTCCAGTTTTCCCATTCTGTGCTATCAAACCTCTCCACGCTCCCCAGCTCCTGCAGAAACTGGACTTTGTGATGTGACCCCAGCCCACGTGAAGCACCGCCTCAGAGAAATGCATCACCACTTTTACAAAACACAGCAGTTTTAACCTGAACATCGAGCAACACCAAACTTCTCTGGGAAGCACTGGGTGCAGGATGATCAGGGACAGAAAAGGGATGTGTCTGTGGAGCAGAGGGCTAGTTTAAACTCTCATTACCTTGCTAACAGCTGGCTTCATTAGTCTGCCTGCAGACAATCATAATTATTGGCTACTGCAGGGTGAAAAGCCATTTAATTTTATTAATGTTCTCAGAGCTGCAGACCTGTGAAATTATTTTTAAAGTGGCTTATAAAGTTTGTCTCTTCTCGAAGAATGTGTCAGACTGATAGACTGGGGTATGAAATTTACTCCCCAGTAAAAGGGAGTTTGAATGCAGTTTAATAACATTTGAAATGTTCTGCTCTGAGAAACTGTCCCCAAAGTCCAGGTGAACCTTTCTCCATTGGAACTCTTAGAAATTTGTGGAAGCTATAACTTTGGCATTAATTTTACAGGAGCATTTATTGCCCAAGGGTCAAGACCAAAGCCATAAAATGCTGCTCAAGCTCTGAGCTTTCTCAAACCAGAGGTAAACTTGTATCTAAATGTCTGTTTGGAACCCAGGACTACTAAATTTGCTCTAGTAGAATTCTATTATAAAGCTTAGTCTGCAATGAAGGTAGACTTTTACCTTAGCTTAGTTAAGTATTCCCCCTAAGCCAGCATAAATCATAATTACCCCACTATAATTCATAGTTTTTCTACTACTAATTACTCTTTCTTCTTGCCCTAAGCACCATCTTTACTCATACAACAGGTTGATGGTTCCCATTAAATTTATTATTCTACAGATATATGTTGGATTAAAGTTTACCTGAATGAGAGTTTTATCCAGCTCCTGCCAGAGCTAATGGAGAAGATATTTCAGTTTATTTGAAGCAGCTGTTATCTCAGGAAGAGGCTCATGCTTAAATTAGAATAAAAGTTCTGCCAGAATCAGTATTCCTTTGTTTCCCCCCAACAATTCACTAAAAGTCCTCAGTCACTTAAGAGCTTTTTAAGCCATTTCTAGTATTCACTACATGGCCAATTATTAAGAGAGCCCTGAACCTGCAGTGCACTTAATGACCATCCCTGACATATTTCTTACATGTATTTTCTTTCCACATTTTCTTCAACAATAGCAAACCAGGTGCCTTCCTCTTTTCATCTCCTGTTTAATCCATTTACTCTCATCCTCCATGGCACAGCACTCGATGTTTCCATAAAACCAGCCTGCACCAACCACTATTTCACAACTCACCCATAAAATTCCAATCTTTTACACTTCCACCTCTTCATCTTCCCATCCACAGAGGGGAGTCAAGGTCAGCCAGATGCAAATGAGGTGTTTGAAGCAGAGGGGTGATGAGCGGTGATTGCTTGATGAGCACAGGAGGAGGAAAGGTCTTGGCTGTGCCTCGGTTTTTAAATCATCCTCAGTTGTGCTGGAAAATTGAGGACAGAGCAGTGATGCTCCTCTGACCAGCTTCCCCATGGCATCGTTCCTGTCACAAAGTCAAAGACAGGCAGGTCGCACATATTCTCTTACTCTTGACTCCTGCTGGGATGACAGCATTGAAAAATAGAAAAAAAAACAAAACCAAAGCAAATTTACCAGGGATTTCCATCTTGTGAGCTCAGGATTCCCCACACTCTTGCACAGGGGGAACGTTCATCAGGCAAAGGATATGAGAAGGAGTCTCAAATTGTCCAAAATCCCAGTAAAAATATTTTTTCCTATGGAAACATTCACCAAAGCTGGTCACATTTCAGGCCCTTTGTACACCCATTTCCTGATGTGTATCTCACAGTGAGGTGTTCCCAGTGCTCCAGGGACCCAACACAAACCCTACAGCCCCACACAAACACAGCCCTGGGAGCTGCACCTTTCCCTCCAAACCTGGGTACCTGCAACAGTCACCTCTGTGCTGATCCGAGCCTAAACAAGGTGATCAATTTATCCTTGAAAAGACTGATGACAGCATTCTTGTCCTCTCCAAAAGAGCCATCATTTCACAACTGTGATCTCTGCACCAAGATTTTATTCCCTTAAAGTACCCAAGTGCACAGGCAGCATCAAGGAAGGCACTGAAATGAGTCAAGTTTAACCCAAAAGAGCTCTCAGCTTCCTGTGAAAGCTCAGACGAGCAGTAGAGAAAGAAAAAAATGCTCCCATAACTGTGGCATCTAAGCCACAGGGCAAGTGAAAAGTTGGTTTTACAGAATGAAGGAAATACAGAAAAAGCACTAATAAAGCACTAATAAAAGGTGAGAAAAATCCATCACTCCAACAGGTAAATGAAGGTAAAGCACTTGAAGAAACAGAGGTAGATGGAGGAGAAAAAAAACCCCACAGTTAATAGTGTCCATGACACCCAGAGCCTAAACAAGCCCAGGGGATCAGGAGGGAGGTAAGCACGTGCTCCAAACAACAGCAGAAATGAAGTGAGATCTCTGAAGGGAACAAAAGAAAGAGGCAGCCTAAAGAAAGGAAAAAATGCCTCCCCACCTTTCATTCCCTGCCCACGAGGTGTTTTGGTTTTTTTAATCAAGAGTTTCTTGTATCATGTGTCAGAAATCCAGAAAAATAAATGTCAGGAGTAGCGTGGTCTATTGCTTCCTGAACAGCAGCCAAGATATATCCTTGTGCAAATTATTCCATGCAGCACTCACATCTTTAATTGTCTCTGTTCCTCTTCCTGGGGAAGCAGAGTTACTTTATCTATCGCAAGCTATATTTTTCTCCCTCCTCCCTGGCGAAGAACAAGCTTTTGGCAAGTGCTCACTGGTTTACTTAAAGCTCATCACACCCATGCAAAGGAGAGTGGAACAGGTTAATTTATCACTTATTACAATGATTATCTTGCCCAGCTGCTGGGTTCAAGAACCCCAGAGTGCCTCAGGTTATACAGAAGGAAAAGTTCCATTGAATTAAGTGCTGCCACACTGGCCCTCTTTGCCTGTCAAACACATTCAGCTGCTCTTGCACTGCCCTGTGAAAATCCCCCATAAAACATGAGTGAAAATCCCTCCTCACCTATGAGAAAGCACATCTGGGTTCTGCTCAGGGCATTTCAAACTACCTGGGGTATTTGTGACTTCCCCTTGCAAAGGCAGCATCTCAGGAAAACTCAGAGTTTCTCTTCATGGACTCACAGGATGTGTTGGCTTGGAAGGGACCTTAAAGCTCCTCTTGTTCCAGCTCTCAGCACACTCAGGACACCTTCCCCTAGACCAGCTTGCTCCAAGCCCCATCCAACCTGGCCTTGAACCCTTCCAAGGGTGAGACAGCTTCTCTGCAACCTGGTCTATTCCTCCCAGATCTAAAATCATACCAAATTTAGCAGCCTCAGAGATAGATTTCTATTAAATATCTACATTTTTCTAGGAAAGAAATATGGCAAAACTTGTTTGCATCTGACTTTGCAAAATCAACACGAGCTCTTCAGAAAGGGCTGCCGCCCACTTTTCTTATTTTTCCCCATTTGGTGGAACATTTTCATTCTGTTGTTGTTTGGAGCAGTATTTTAATGTATCTGGCTGAGGCTGCTTAAAATAGTACAGTGAGATACCAGGCTGTGACGGGTGGAAAACTGAGCTCTTACACATCCAGTACTTCTGTTGTTGGAAGTCTTAAATCCCACCTCTCTGCTGGGATGAAATAGGTGCTACTAATCCAATTTCTAAAGTATCATGCATCAAGCTGACACTATTTTAAGACTTAAAAATAAAGAAGCCAATTTAAACAAACCTCTGCTCCTTTCCATGTTCTCTGTTCCACAGTTTATGACAGAAGACAGGAGAGAAAGATTGTTTTGGGAACAATGTTTTCAGGACTCCAAAAAGAATATAAAAACCACTGCCACACTCTCAGCTGTTGCAGCCCCAAAAAGCACTGGCTGTCTTTGCTCACAGGATCAGGATCACCAGGAGATATTTGCAGGTTTTGCTCTGCATCATCAGCTTGCCCAGACTTTGCTCAGTGTTTCACCAATGGAGAAGACAATGGATATTTTGCCAAACCTCCTTTCAAACAACAAAACTTGGGGCAGCACGACAGAAAAGAAGAAAAGAAAATATTCCCCAGTTAGAACAGAGCCAGAGTCCCACCATTTTCCCCTCCACTTTTCTTTATTTTCTACATTTAGAGGTAAACCTTCCATCTCCAAAAGCTTCCATCTCTCACTTCCTGATGCCATTTGCTACCCTTTAGCCTTGACCCCCACGGATCTGAGTGCTGTCCATGTGGGGCTGGGGATGCTCAGCCTGGAAAGAGAAGGAGCTGGGGAGGCCTCCCTGCAGCTCTAGGTAAGATGGGCACAGAGAGGAGAAGGCTTTCAGCTGCAGGAGTGAGATTGAAGTTGGATCTAATGAAGCTGCTCTTTTCCACTCCGGCTGCTGGGCCACTGGCCCAGGCTGGGCACAGAGGCTGGGGATGCTCCATCCTTGGCAACATCCAAGGCCAGCTGGGAGCGGGGCTCTGAGCAACCTGTTCTGGGGGAAGATTGCTCAGCTTGGAACAAGATGGTCTTTAGGGTCCCTTCCAAGCCCAAGCACCCAGGGATTCCATCATTCTAGGATCTCCCTTGTCCACTTCAGCCTGGGCCTGGGCTCCTGGCAGTGATGTCACAGTGCACGCTCCAGCTAGAACTTCCAGCATCCAGCAACAGCCACAACACAACCCTTGGCTCGTTGTGTCAGGACGCTCTTCACAGTGCTCCAAACCTACCCCTGCCACCTTGTTATCTCCTGCTCCCTGATTCCCCCAGCAGTCCCTAAAGCTCCCCATCGTGTTCATTTTGCTATCCATCCTTGCACAATGTCTGCATTTTCTCCAAAGAAGGTATGGTACTATTCCACGGAGGTGGACACCCCGCAGCTGCTTGGCTGGGCTGGAGCTGTGTGGGACAGTGTGGGAAAGGGACCCCACTGGGAGATTTTGCTACCTCTGCAGACTGTCACAGACAGAGAGGAGGAGATGGAGGTTGATACACCAATTAATAGTGAAGAGAGAATGGAGGTGGATGAAGAGAACATTGGAGATGAAGAGATGGACATAGATGTGGATGAGACGGAAGAAGAAATGGAAGTGGAAATGAATGATGATATTGAGGACATGGAAATTGATATAGAAGACGAGGAGGAGGACATGGTGTTGGGATGAAGACCGATGCCAGAAGCAGAACAGGCAGGTGCTCCCCACAGGCAGAGTAGGTCCCCTGCTGCCAGGCTGGGGCTGGGCTGGGCACTCCCTGCTCAGGGACACGCTACCCCATGCAGTGGATTCTGGTGGCCATCCCTGGCCTGGCCTGAGCTTGCTTTGGGCCACACAAGCCCTGTTCCAGTGCTTGGGCCACAGCCCCCAGCCCCAGCCAGGCTCACTTCTGGCAGCAGAGTCCCACTGTGCCAGTGTCCCATCCTGGCAGCACATGGAACACCCCTCCATGCCTGACTGCACTGACCGTGCTACTTGTTTTCCTTCCAGGACTGAGGCACATCCCGGGCAGAGATGCCACCCATCTGTATATATGTTTTACAGTTGTGTTCAGATCGAAGTTTTAGAGTTTGCTGTAGTGTTCTGTAAATATGTTCCATATAGTTTAATTAGATATGTTCTTAGGTAAATAGGTTCTATAGTTTGTTGTTGTTGTTGTTGTTACAAATATTCTTACAATGTAAATATGTTGTGTAGTTCATTCTTGTTCCTTTTCTTCTACAAATAAACATTCTTTATTTTTCACACCCCAGTTCTCTTTGCATTTTCTTCGGGCACATTTGCAAAGTTGTGCTTTCCACTCGCTCCAGGTTCCCAGGGCTGGATGTCCCTGCGGGAGCTGGCACAGCCACCCCAGGAGTGGGCTCCCTGTGCACAGGGGGTCCCACTGACAGAGCTCACCCTCTCCTTGCTGTTTCTCTGCACACACTTGGTAGCTGGAGGGGCAAATCCCAGTGGGCCCTGTCCCATGGCATCCCACATGGGAGCAGGGCTCAGCCTCATCCATGGCTCTTCCCTGGCTAGCCCCAGGGCTAAGGAGGCTGCACTGGGCTGCGGGCAGCCTGCTTCCTGGGCACCCTGAGGGGCTGGAGCCAGCCTGGAGGGAGCCTCAGCACAGGGGCCTCTGGCCCACATGCACCAAGATTTCCTTTGGAAACCCCTTCTGTCACCACACTCTGCTACAAGTACAACATCAATTGTTCCTCCTAGTTCAAGGTGAGACATTAATTGGCACAAATTTATCCCTTGGACTTTCTAGCACAGCAAATGTCAGCACTTGTAATCCCTGTTCTGCACTCCCTGCTCGGGCACCAAAACATTGGAACCTGCCAGAACATCTTTAATTAGCACCAACCTGCAGAGAGCTACAGGGGGAGGACCTACCCCCAACCACACAGGGACATTGATGGGCTGGGGCAGAGCTGAAACTAAAGTATTTTAATGCCAAGAGACAGGAATTTTTTATTACTGAATTCATTCTCCCAGGACAATAATGAAAGCTTTGTCTCCTCACCTGCCACACATGTCTATTGCCAAGGTTTGCTTCTGGGTTATGACTGATTTTTATTAATCTCTTCAGAACTCTGATACTCTTCCTGGCTAAGGTACAGAGATGACATTTCAGAGCCAGATGAGCTCAGCACAGCTTGTGCAACACGCAGAATTTCCAGACCCACAGATTCAGGCCATGCAAACTGATACTTTTTCGTCTGTGTGTAAAGATCACTGCAAGGATGTCAAGCTGTCCCTTCTATCCAGCTCTCCCCAGTCACTTCACAGACTTCACTGCAAGCAGTTTCTGATAGAGTTCAGTAGCACATGGGATTTCATCCTGGCTTTTCTTCATTTTCTCCTGAGCTGTCTCCAGACACAGTGTGTGGGCACTGCAGCAGCATGAACGTGGCACCTCCCTGACACTGAGATTCATGTCACAACTTTTCATCAAAAGCAGCAAAGAAATGATTCCCACTGGCTCCCACACGGCTCCCTGGCAACTTTGTGCTGCTGCAGCTCCAGCACCAGCCCTGGTGCACAGCAATTTCAGGAGGAGACACACAGAAGGAATCAGCCATTCCCAGAGAATAAATATCTGTTTGCATGGCCCAAATCCCCACAACACTGCAGGCTGTGGTGACCCAGACTCTGCATTTGCACTTCAGCCTCTGTGCCTCACTTTTCCTCTCACTAAAGTCCCCCCAGTTTCCCTCATGCTCACATTCCCAAGATAATTCGAAGCAACATTAGGAGCAGGGATAGATGATGGGAACTGTCCCAAGGCTCGACAAAATTTCTCAGGCCTGACAATTCTAGCCAAGGACAGAGGAGAAAAACTGCATGAAAGAGGTGTGAAATCAAAGCAGTAATCAAATTTAGGTATAATGAGAAAAGCTGAAGAGGTTTTCAAGGTTTGGAACAAGATTAGCAGCTCCAGGCACAGGAGGGATGCGACATTTTCCCCGCTGTAACAATTCTGTGATGCAAATTGCATCTCAAATCCTTCTCCCCAGCTCTGGGACTTGTTCAGCCACCAACATGGTGCTGAATTTTTAAAGCAAAGTGGAAGCTGGTCAGAGAGGTGGTTTGCAAATCAAAATCACAGAGGACAGCTTGGAAGCAGCAGCCAGAGCAAAGAGAGGCAGAGCCTGGCCCTGGGGTGCAGCACAGCCACACAACACATGCCTGAAACTCTAAGAAATTAAAGAATTTTCAACAGGAGATACAGAAGGTTCTTTATGGAATCCCTGCCTCCTTCACAAGGCATCAGCATGCAGGAGAACACAAGGATGAAGATTACAGCACCTTCTGCTGCTGCTTCCATCTCCTGAGTCAAATCTCACCAAAATCTCTCACTATTGGGCATTCCCAAAGCCTCAGATTCACTCAGTCCTTGCAGGATTTCAGTGCTGAGGAGCATGAAGGGAGATAAAGGCACTTGCAGAGACCAGAGATGCATTTTCTGCCTGAGGTGCATTTTACTGCCCAGCTTATTTCCTCTAAAACCATTCCAATCAGCCCCTTGGACAGCACCAAGCCAGCAGCAGAACATCAGCGCCTGAAAATGCTTGGAAATGCCATTCTTTGATATTTCTGTCCAGCTCTCCCATTTCATGGTGCCATTGCAGGGCTTTATCCCATCATTCAGCACTTGCAGCAAGTCTTGGCAACCAGCTTCAGATGGATTTTTAGTGCTGAGTAAGAAAGAGGCAATTTTACTTTGTCTCCAGTGAATGAAATTTCACCTAAATCAGATGAACTCTGTGTTGTGTGATTGGCCAGGCACTAACTACTGCCAGGTCCCCAAGCCTGGATGTCAAACTGCCCTAATATTGGAAAGTTAAATTTATTTGGTTTTATGTACAAGATTATTCTGTCTCAAAATAATTTGGATTCATATAATTGCATTTCCAAGCACTAAACTCAGACCATTCACAAAGAGCACAAGAGACAGGAGAAGAAATAAAAATAGAGATTTCTAAGGAGATGGAAATTGAATGCTGAGTTTTTCCCATTATAGGAAGTTTCATAAATTATCACCTGCCAGCTCCTTGCCTTCACTTGTGTGGCCACCACTGAATACACTCCCAGATAAGAAAATGTTTGTCCTACTGAAAACTGGGACTAGAAGTGGAAAAAGGTTCAGATATCTGAATTAAAAGACAACATAATGAAAAGAGCTGCCTTATAATAGCAAGATATGATGGACAGCAGGAATGGCTGAAGCCAGCAGAGATAAGTCCATGAACTATTGGTGCTACAAAGATTTCTGACAAAACCCCCAATAAGCCAAAAACAACGTTTTGTCTGGCACAGCTGATAGGAGCCCTGTGCATTTAATTCAGTCATTGGCAGCACATGGAGATTGGCTTTAAGCTCCTTTGGTCCACTACTACTTTTTTATCTTTTATTTTATTTTTTCCACCCAGAAAATGTAATTGCTTCTAGTCTTTGTGAAGAAATTACTGCTTTGAATGGTTCAAGGCAAAGAGTTTCTTCCCATACCCACTTGGAATCAGTCACCAAGAGAGATATTTTCTTAAAAGATCTCTTAAAAATTTTGGAGTTACTTTCAACAGAAATAACTTGGTTATTTTGTTCAAAATTATAAGGGAATTGAATTTGGCTCCCTCAGTTTAAAAAGAAGCGTTTCTTCCCAGTTCTTCACCAAGAGGAACAAAACACTTGGTTGCAGCAAACTGAAGGGAGGAAGAAGTTTCTTTCCCCCTGAGCTGCACAACAAGAGACAATTTTGCTGCCAAGAGGTGACAAAATCCAGTCAATTTCCAGTTATTTTAGTTTCAGGGAAAAGCTCCAAGGATCATAGCTGTGGGAGACACAGAGTGGGAGGAGCAGGGGATCTGCTGGGGGGTTTTGGGCTGGGGGATAGATTAAAGAAATGTTCAAGTGAAACCCATCAGAGCTCAAGACTTCATCCCACAGAGGAGAAATTTGATTTGGCCCAAATGCCATTCAAATCCAAAAAACATTGAGGCATTTCCCCAAGCTCTGCTGAACCATCAGGTACAACCCAAACCATCCTGTGGGACCAGAGCAGCAGCTCCCTGGCATGGGGACAGGGATGCTCCCTTGGGAAGCCGCCTGCATCACCCATGGGATTCGCAAGATCTGTTTCTAAAGACGCCAACATCCAAAAAACTCCACATTAAAAGCCCTTAATTTGGGGTTTCACTTCTCCATCTGTCTCTTGTCAAGAGACAGCTGCTCCACTTCAACACCCTGCTGCATTGGTCCAAATTTTCTCCTAATTTCCAGCCTAAACAAGAAGTTACTTCCATTCATTCTTCTGCAAGTACTGGGAGCTTGTACCTTCTCTGCTCTTCCTCTCCTGCTGTGCATTTGTGCACATCAAGTGCCAAGAGCATTTCCTTGTTTAAATTATGTCACTTTTCCCTTATTATTTCCTTCCCATATAGTTGCACAGATTTGGTGCTCGCTCAACACTCACAACATTGACAGCACAAAGTTGAGTTTTCACACCAGCTTCCCCAACCTTGGGACCAAGACTGCAAAGATGGAAACACAGCAAAGAAATTTGAAACAGAGGCCCTAATAAAGGTAATAAAATGCCACATGCCTGTGTTTGCTGCAGGGAAGAATAGTCCTGCTTATTAAATCATTACAAACAATTAAAGCAGCAGAGGGGAGGAAGACAGCGTTATCGTTTCCAGCTCCCCAGTCCTCCTCTGCCCGCGGCATGAATTTCATAAAGCACAAATCTCCCAGCAGAAATCCCTCAGCAATTGATTTCCTACTCATGGAATACAGCAGGCAGACACCCTGGCTTTCCTGGCCAGAAAAGGAGAATTTGCCTGGATGTTTTTCCTAGCCATGCAGCTGTGATGTCAAATCCCCTCGCTGCCCTGGCAGGAGATTCCTGAAGGGACACGTTCCTGTGGGGTGACGACCCTCTGGAGAGGCACAGAGAGCTTTGTGTCAGTGTAAGGGACCCCCACAACAGCAGATCCCTAATTCAGGCTCCATCTTTGCTCACATGTGGTTTCTAGAAGAAAATTCCCTGTGATTGCATTTCCCCAGAACGGGTAATTTCAAGCACGTTTTTCTCTTGAGCTGTTCTGCCTTCCACAAAAGCAGCGTGCCCGGGATCACTTTGGAGACGAGCAAATAGCTCCATGGCAAACAGGAGCACCAGGAAACATAGCAACACCTAACAACCAAGACCATCCAAACCCACTTACCAGCCCACC